GCTTTCCCGAGGGATGACTGCACTGGAGAACCCAAATTCCCAAACCTTCCAGGACAGAATCCCTCATGGCACAAACCCAGAGGAGATTTCCCAGAAATTCAGCCCCAAAGAAACTTTCCAGAGGAATGAAACATTCCAGGTCTGGTCCTGGATCCCAGAAACAGCAGGAACACGAAGGCCCCTCTTTTGGGATGGATTTTTGGGGGAAATTCAGCTGGGAAGTCCTTGAGGAGGAAGCAGGAGCTGAATTGGCTTTCCCGAGGGAAAGCTGGAATTGGCTTTCCTGGCCCCATTCCTGACTGCACTGGAGGACCCAAATTCCAAAACCTTCCAGGACAGAATTCCTCATGGCACAAACCCAGAGGAGATTTCCCAGAAATTCAGCCCCAAAGGAACTTTCCAGAGGAACGAAACATTCCAGCCTTGGCCTCGGGTCAAGAAGAACAGGAATACGAAGGGCCCCTTTTGGGATGGATTTTTTTGGGAAATTCTGCTGGGAAGTCCTTGAGGAGGAAGCTGGACAGGCCTTGGAGCAGCCTGGGATTGTGGTGAAAATTTCCACGGGGGGAAATTGGGGAAAAACTCACCGGAGGCGGGGGCAGTTCTGTCCCAGGGCGTTGAGGATGGCGTCGGTGATGTTGGAGCAGCCCGAGGCGCACAGGGACTGCAGTTTGTGGCAGCCCCTGCAGATGGTGATGAGCCCATCGTCCGTGATTTGCTGTGGGGGAAACAGTAACGGGGTCAATCTGGCCAGGAATTCCTTCTCCCAGGGTATTTGTAGGGATTGATGGGAAATTTACAGGGATTGATGGGAAATTTACAGGGATTGATGGCGTATTTGTAGAGATTGATGGGGTATTTGTAGGGATTGGTGGGGAATTTGTAGGGATTGGTGAGAAATTTGTAGGGATTGATGCGATATTTCTATGGATTAATGGGATATTTGTATGGATTGATTTGTAGGGATTGATGGGGTATTTGTATTGATTAATGGGAGATTTGTAGGGATTGATGGGAAATTTGTAGGGATTGATGGGAAATGTGTAGGGATTGGTGAGAAATTTATAGGGACTGATGGGAAATTTATAGGGATTGATGGGATATTTGTATGGATTGATGGGATATTTGTATGGATTGATTTGTAGGGATTGATGGGGTGTTTGTACTGATCGATGGGAGATTTGTAGGGATTAGTGGGAGATTTGTAGGGATTTATGGGGTATTTCTACGGATTGATGGGATATTTGTATGGATTGATGGGCTATTTCTATGGATTGATTTGTAGGGATTGATGGGGTATTTGTATGGATTGATGGGGATATTTGTAGGGATTGATGGGGAAATTTATAGGTATTGATGGGAAATTTGTAGGGATTGGTGGGAAATTTGTAGGGATTGGTGGGAAATTTGTAGGGATTGGTGGGAAATTTGTAGGGATTGATGGGATATTTGTAGGGATTGATTTGTAGGGATTGATGGGGTATTTGTAGGGATTGATGGGATATTTCTATGGATTGATTTGTAGGGATTGATGGGGTATTTGTATGGATTGATGGGATATTTCTATGGATTGATTTGTAGGGAT